CCGCAGGCCGACGTGTGGTAGCCGCTGCTCGCGTGGCTTGCCAAAGCTCCTGCTGGCCCTGGCCCAGGGCTGCGTATAATGCGAGGGTTTGTGCTAGGGCCTGGCAGAGGGACCCTCCGCTGTGAGGTCAGCAGCTCCTTTACCAGCAAACCGAAATGTAAGCGGTTTCCTTTTGTTGCAGTTTGCTGCAGGGCCAGGCTCATATGACCCAAAGCCGTTTGAGAGGTCAGAATCCTTCAACCAACCCCCATTTTGGTCATCTGCCAAGAGATTTGACAGAAGGTCCTGCTGCCTCTATGCTGGGAATGCGGTGAGTGGAAAGACACTGCGGTAAGACAAGGACAGGGGGACTGTCCTGCTCTGAGCTTCCTCCTCGACCATCCCCAGGCCATCGCTGGTCCCCCTGCTAGAGGACAAAATGGTGCAGGATGCACCTCGTCCCACACATCTCAAGCTTCTGTGTCCTCAGCACCTTCTGAGCAAGGGATGTCCTGCACTGGGATACAGTGACCTCAGGAGGTGCCTTCTCTCCCCATTAACTAGCAAGGAACCCGAGTGACTTGGCCAGGTGCCAAGGCTTTAGACAGGAACTTGGCCCACTCATGCTACTGTCATTCTTGCACAAAAGGGGTTGCTGAAGAATAAGAGGTGAAGCCCCTCATCCCCACAGCTGCAAAGTCCTACCAAACCAATGGAGAGACACATGTAGCCTTGGAAGCTGAGCCCCTTTCTCCCGTGCTTCCTAAAGCTTCCCCGCTGCTGCTCCTGCCCTCCGGAGCACACGCAGGTGCCGGAGCGCTGCTTGAGTGGTGGCACCAGTGCGAACCACGTGTGCGTGGGTTGTGGCTCTGCGCCTGGTGGCACGGCCATACACAGCCCCTGCACACCCGGCACGAGGAGCCAGGCCAGCATCCACTGCCACCTTGTCTCTGTCAGTGTCACCATCCCCCTGTCCCCACTCTTTGACTCAACCCTGGTTCCATTTCGGGGTGGGGACAGCAAGGAGACTGTCTGCTCTGAGCTCTTTCAGGTGCTCCATGAATCCTCCTAGAAAGTTACATATTCTGCTGCTTAAAAGCAGCTATTTCTCCTCGCGGCAGCAGCAACACGCTGTGCAGGTGCGAGCCCTTCCCTTAGTACCGTCCTCAGAGCCGCATTCATCTTCGTGGCTTCCCCATGGAGAGCCAGAACAAAGCGGAGAGGGCTCAAAGCAGACGGCGAAAGCTTTAGTCTGAAATAGTCCACCCTGGTGAGGAGCGAGGAGCAGACTTCCACGGGGCTCCTTTCCTTCATGTGGCTGAGTGTGGAACAGGCAACTTGAAAGAGGTCAAGGATGAAGACACCTTCCTAATTGCTGGGGGGAGCCGGGCAGTGCCGTTTCAGCGGCGCGGTTGCAGCAAAGCAGCCCTCGCCTCGAGCTGGCGGCAGGCAAGCGGGGAGGCCGTCTGAGCCAGCACAGTTAATCAGGCCCAACTTCTCTGCAGACCGCTGTGACTTAAAGGAGCTGCTTGTGAAGGGCACTGCTTGGGCTAACACCGATTAACAGGTCTCCTCCTCCCTCGCCTGCTACTTAGACATGGTTTTGTTAATACATTCCACAGATTGTTGTATTTTTTGCTACCGAAGGGCTGCTCCTGGGAAGCCCTCCTGCCTTTGCCCTCCATTGCCTCACCCATGTTGCCCCTGCGATGATGGGCAACCAGCTGTGACCTTCTCCTTGCAGAATCCCGTAGGTGTTGGTCGCTACAACATCACCAAACACGAGAAACACACTCGGACGATCCGGTACCAGTCCCTGTACCAGAGTGAAACGCGGCGGTACCTGAGTAACCTGGAGCGGGACGCCTACTTGCTGTAAGTCCGGTGTGCAGTGGATGCTCCAGGTGTTCCATGCTGGCTTCCAGGGAAAGCATTTGCCCTGAGCACCTCTCTGGAGACCACGGGTACATTGCCAAAAATTTATGACTGATGCAAGAGGCTGAAGAGCAGAGGGACGATCGTGTGGTTAGAGCAGTGGTTTGGGCCTGAGGCAGCAGTGACCACGGGCACAGCCTGGGACAGGAGCCTGTGCCGGTAACCGAGCAGGTGGCTGCGTGCCCAGGGCTGCACTGCGCCGCCCAGCACCTCCAGCAAACACCCCCTATTCGCACTGTGCCTCGCTTTACCCTTTGGGCAAGGAAGCCGACGAGGCTCCCTTCCGTTACCCCTCGCAAGCACCAGGATGGAAGCCCTGAGGAACTGTTAGGAACCATCCTACTGATGGACCTCGGGACAGCCCCTTGCTTTCACCTTTGCTCATGACCAAGATTAGCAGCTGTGGTTTTGCTAAGGGCTGACAGCACTGCGAAGACTTGGGTACTTTCTCTTTTTTTTTTTCTATTTTTTTCCCCATCTCAACTGAATGTAACTGAGGGAGGAGGAGGCAGAAGGAAAGGCAGCTTTCAGCATTGCGCGGCTTGGTTAATTTTGCAGTTCCAGCAGGTATAAAAACCAGCCTGAACGCCAAGCAGGACCTGCGATTCAAACACGGTGAATGGATTGCTGTGATCAAACAGCACGAGCCCTCAAATCACTTTGCAGGCTAAAGTGGTACTTCCAAGGGAATAGCCAGGCTTTAAAGCTCTGCTCACCTCCAAGCTCATTAAGATTAACAAGATTAATCCAGCCAAGAAGTTGAGCCCACTGAATTGCATCCTCTTTTCACAGTGAGCGGCTCAAGCCTTCTGCTAAGAACAACTGGAATGATTTGATTGCTGTTCCGCATCGCCCAACTGCTTCTGAAGAAATTACCGCTGTTTTCTGAACTTTTGATGGGGCTGAAAAGCAGTGAAACTGTGAGTAAGGAAAAGTGCAAACAAGCTGTGGACACACCAGTGGATGAGGCTGTGTAGATAAAAATACCTACGAGGTGGTGGTGGCGTGAGAATCAAGAGCAGGAAACAAGTTGTCTTATTCTGTGCTAATTAAATGGCCTTCCTTGGACAAACAACAGACTAACTCATTATTCTCAGTAATTCATTACTGCACCTTCAGCCCATATAGAAGCTTAAGAGGATGTCAGAAACCACATGCCCCGTGCCATGCACAGCTCCCTTAGTGTTATTTCCTTTCCAGCTGCACCACACTACTGAGAGGAGTCATCCGCATCTGCTACTCTTGTGGCAGGGAGGAGAATCCCAGAGGGTGCCGCAGCTCACGTTGTTCTTGTGGGAAGCAACAGGACACCTACCCCGAGGCCCAGCGGGTACAACGTGAGCGACGCTGCTCTCCCTGGGGAGCAATGAGAGCAGCCTTGGGCCCACGTACCTGTCGTGTGCGCCCTGCACCGGCGCAGCTGCCTCCTCGCCCGCTGGAACGTACAGCTGCACCGGGGGCAACAGCGCAGCCGCCTGGGAAAAGCCGCTGGGATTTAGGATCCTCGCTCCAAGCTTTGTAGGATGTCAAAGCCCTAGACGCAGGGAAGAAAGTGAAACGAGCAGAAAGCTTTAGCAGTGGTCATGAAAAGGCCATAAACCTGCACGGAGAGCAAGCTGGCTCATTTAGAGTTTATCTTTCTGCAGTGTCAGAGTAGCACTTAGACCAGGCTGGAATAATTAAATTTAGGTGTGATTACATGTTAGTTAGGGCTGATTAAGTATGCTAATTAATCCGCAATTACTCTTTGGTGGGGGAGAGAATTGAGCACAGGTAGAACTGCGGTGATTTAAAGAAATGCTGATTATTGCAACAGGAAGGCAAGCAAAGAAGGAAATGCCCACACTGTGCTGCGTGTGAGCGTGGGCTACAGCAAAACTGCTGGGTAACGAAAGGGAGAACTGCGGAAAGCAGAGCCCATTGGGACTGAAAAAGATCTGACTGAAGGAACGCAGGACTTGGGCACCTAAATTGCAGTTTCAAGGGGGTTCAGGGATTCATCAGCCTTGATTTCAGGGGAAAGTATTCCAACTTGTATCAGGGAGGAGAACAGCACAAGGGGTATCTCCATAAACGGTGTGGGAAGGTGTTTTTTGAGGAAAGTGGGGGTGAGGATGTGAAACTCCACAGTTGAGGAGTGTTTTGAATCTTTGCCTCCAAGCCTCTGTTTGGTCTCAACCTAGGGGCTAGTCTATGCCAATAGCTCTAGCACCTAAATCCAAAATCATTTTTGTCTTTACTGGCCAATTATTCACAGGGAAAGGAGGTAGTGAGGGGAAAAAAAATAAGGGGAACTGACAGGATGATCTTAAGAAATACTTGTAGTTAGTAGGATGTAGCTGAGAGCTTGAGGCTCAGCTACCAGGTGCTTGCTTTGTACAGGCATGTTGTGGGGTAGAGATAAGTGCACGATCACAGCCTTCAATAACACTGAACATCCGCACCAGGATCCTCCTGTCCCAACAGCCTCCCCACACCTTGGGCCTCCTGCTCAGAGAGCAGCTCTTCTCCGTGAGCCACTTCCAACAACACAGTAAGCACAAGAAAAAAAGAGTGTTAAAAAAGTTAAAAAGTAAGTAATCACTCCTTAAAAGACACCATGGAACAGCACACTGGTTATTTTTATTTTAAACAGCTCATACAATGAAAAATTTCAGGACCACCAGCAGTTATGTGTGTGCATGTATGTGACTGGTATAGTCATAAGTTACAGTACCAAATCACGTCATACCAAGTTTGCTGATAAATTAGGAGTGGAAAAGAAATACAGTGCATACCTAGGGAACAGCAGTACAAAAGTGTAGATACACAGCTTAAGTAAAAGCAGTTGCATCTCTCTGGTTGTTTTACCATTACCCTTCTAAAAACTAACCCAACTCTTGCTCGGTGCAGATTATCTCACAAGCACTGCCCTAATCACAGCACTGCCACAGGGCCAAGGAAGCTGCTCTCTCCCCGCTCCCTTTGTGGGGCAGGGAGGCAGGTCACAACTCCCGTTTCCTTCACAGCCTGGAGCAGCGGAGCAAACGCTCCGGGATCACTGACCCAGCTCTGCTGGCGCCCGGCTCCCGCTTGGCTCCGGGCTGGGAGCAGCTCCGCAGGAGCGTGGCGCACGCTGCGTCTCCCCTTGCTGCTCTGCTGCCTGGCCCCGGGGGGCAGGACGTGGGGGGCTACCTCATCCACACACCGTTAGTCCAGCGCACGTTGCTCGTTACTCAAGCACGCAACGTTACTCAACGTTACTCAAGTACGCAACACATTGCTCAAGTTACGACACACCGTTAGTCCAGCGCACGTTGCTGGGCCACAGGCCAAGTTAACTCGTTACTGCTTTATCATTGGTTTCATCTGGATCATAAACATCCATCTATCAATAAATAAAATCATTGGTTGAGCACTCAAATAAAAAAAGAAAAACCCAAACTACCCTCTGACAACCGTTTGATGAGCTCTTCGCATTACTCCCTACACAACCCGCAAGGACATTCCTTTTTTCCCACCTCATGCTCAGTAAGGTTTAAAGCAACTATTTCAAGCGCTGCTTGGATAACACATAGATTTGGTTTTCAGACCTGTTTCTGACTACAGGGTCGAGGCATTTCCACACTCGCACACGTTGGTGCATGATGAGCAGCCAGGCTGTCGATGCCAGCGTGCAGCCCAGCGCGACGGGAACGGGCCGGTTCCCTCTGCAGGGGACTGAGGCAGCCCTTTCACAAAGTCTATCAAACGAAGCCAGCTAAAAACAAAAAAATCCAAATTTTCACTCCGAGCCTGTCCACGAGGAGAGCTTTCCTTACCCAGAGCCACTTCCTCCAAGCATTCTTGTACAATAAAGGCTCTATCTGTCAGAACAGGACACGCTTCCTTCTCCTGCTGGTCAGGACGGAATGATCCCAAATGACTGAGGTCTTCCTCCAACTGAGCACTTATAAGGCACTAAAATTAAGCAAAACCTCCCAAAACAAAACAACAAAAAACCCACAACAACAACAACAAAATAAACTGACACATGCAAAAACTGAAAATAGTATTTGACCATATGAAATAGCAGCGATTTCTTTAGTAGTCTAGGAAGCCAGAGCATTGATATTTTGGGAAGGAAAAAACAGTGAGACCCCTAAAAACCTATATCCAACTTATAATCAAGATCAGTACAAGTTTGATAGGCACAAGTAAAAAGGATTTTCTTCACGCTTAAACTCCCTAACAATTCCTCCAGTTTCCAAGCCCAGCTGAGCTGCTCTATTGAGAGTATAATGCCCTACAGCAGAGGATAGCCCAGACATACAGTACCATCTATACCATATACACAGAGTACTGTACAGCGTGAAGATTATAGTACTGTGCTGCAAGCAACAGGCTGCAGGCAAATGTTTTCAACCTCATGATTCACTTGACAATTCTTTCAACTTTGGCACCTATTTCTGTGACCTCCTCATCATTTTCAACAGTAATTTTAAATACAACTACAGCAAATAGCTGGTGTAACTTCAGAGTATTTTCTTCCTTTCCAACTCTTCCTTGAAAGTAGGTGAATTCACCTACGTCACTACATCAGATCCAAGACACAAAGGTTAGCACTTCAGATTTCTTAAATAACAATCACTGAGTTTGGAAGAGCAGTTTAAAAACATACTAATGAATACTAAACATAAATTCAGAAAGCAGGAGTTCATACCTTTAAAACATCAGCAAGAATGAGCTTATTTGGACAGCAATAAAGCCTTTTTTTTTTAAGGATATACTGACTAGCTACAGGTAAATCTGTTTTTCCCTGATTGCTTGATTAGGTTATTCAGGCTCAGTGCCTTGCAGCTTTGCAGATTTTGTCATAGACTTCTGGAAAGGCATCCTTGCAATTCATTTGCTCCCTCAGCTTATGGTATAGCGAGCCATCAAACATATCCCAGAACTCCTCACGGGTCATGTAGCAATCTGCATACAGCATCTGGAAACTGGAGGGGGAAAAAAGCCCAACAAGACGGTCAGCATTACTTGTGTCACGGGATTCAGACAGAATAATAATAATAATAATAATAATAATAATAATAATAATAAAGTATGAGATATAGACAGTAAATATTCAAAAAATATCAAAAACATTATTTTATTAAAAAAGCAAATATAATTGTTAGTATGAATTATTATGCTGGGACATGCAGCCAGTTCTATCTTGGGGATGTAATACTATCATGGTGCCCTTTCCAAAGGGAAATAACATGTAATAATGAAAACAGCAAGATATTCATATAGGCCCTTTTGATGGTGAAGGGGAAGATGGGAACGGAAGACAATTGACACAAACATTATTTTTAACATTTGGTTCAAAACACTTCTTTAGCCAAAGTATTAGCATTTCCATTAGTTTTACTACCCTGCTAAGTGAAAGGGAGAGAAGCTAAAAAAAAAAAGTCTGAATGAATAAAATTTATTTAAGAAAAGAAAAAACCCTTATGTTCAGATTTACCAGCCATCTGCAATCAAATTTTCTAATGTGTTCTAACAATCTGTGTTCACAGAAATGCAGGTCTAGGGAGCAAGAACTTCCTCCAAATCAAGAGTCTGGTCTCAGTGCATGGAATAAAAATCAAACACGACCTAAATACTCCAGGACAAATATTCCTACCCTGTTTTATACCACCCTTTAACTGCTTTTGAAAGCCTGCTTGCTTTTTCCTCCATTCCAAAGCTTTTAATTTCAGCTCGATTTTTCTTTCTGCCTATTTTCCCACTGTATACATTTTTACACAGTATACAGATACAATTATGGCTTCTCAATTAGTCAGCATCTCACAATGCAGTCAAGATAGATATGCTGATTTTTGCTTTGATGCTTTTAGATGTCTTAGAATTGGATGTTGAGAATAGAACTGGGAA